TTTTTTCAATAACCGAGCCTCTGGGAGTGGCTTAGCGTCTAGAGCGCTAGGGTCCTCTCTGTCCCCCAGCGTGGCATCCTATGCATCGGGCCGAAGGTACCAGCAGGCGTGCCACATCCACATGCCCGCTGCTGCAGGCTGCATCCAGCGGCGTGGCACCGTTGGTGTCAGTCCGGTCTACTTCGGCGAAGGCCTGAAGTGACTGGCATAGAAACCCTAGATCACCCTAAACCCTAAACCCAAAACCCTAAACCCTAAACCCTAGAACAGAAAACCCTAAACCCCAAACCCTAATGGTCTCAGTGTTCCATGAAAATGTCTGTAGAAGCGCCTCCCTGGTCTTAGCAGTGTTGAGTCGCTGTGCTTAGATGGATATCCTGAGACCCTACCCGTTGTTGTCAAGATCGCTTTCTGGGGTCTTATCATGGCTAATGTACGGGCCTCAATAATTAGAATAGGGTTTTGGGGCCCACGAGACTGTACTTATACTAAGGAAGCCCCCAACATACGGTTGATGATATAAGACCACAAGGCATGGTCCGAGAGGGATTCGATAAAACAAGGTGCCCTTCTGTAGAACTAAGCCCGCTGCGAACCGAGCGCATGAAGTCGGGCCGTGGATTACGGGTTTAGGGTTTAGGAAGCGAAATCAACTTCGTAATGTTTCACTACCCATAGGCCCCAAAGTAGTTCCGTTTTGTGGCTTATATTTAGGATCCTATTGAGTTGTCCCAAAAAGGAACTACTGTGGGGCCTATGGGTAGGCATGCTGCAATTCAAGCAGAAGCATGCACCATCCACATGCAGAGCCCCATCATCCCATCACCTTCAACCATGCACAACCCTATACTGAACTTAGACCCCTAGCAAAACTTATAATTTTAGCTGCTTCTTAGTGGTAACCAAAGATTAAAAATATTTCTAAGTACCCCTAAGAACCAGCTGCTATCGGCTCATGCATGGTCAAGCTAGCTACCGAACCATGCGAGATTCCCGAAAGTGTGGGGAGTCTGCCGTGGAAACCCCAAACCCTAAACCCTAAAAACCGGTCCCCGAAATCTGGGGCCTCCAAGAAAAGCTTCGCAGTGCGCAAGCTTCCATTGCTGGCGGCCAGCCCTAGCCCCGGCCGCCCGCGATCAATCAGCAGGTTAGGATCCACAGGTAGCTGTAAGAAGAACTCCACAATCTGTACCTGACTCTTTGGGGGGTTTAGGGTTTAGGGNNGGTTTAGGGGGTTTGGGGGATTTAGGGTTTGGGGTTTAGGGGCGGCACTTCGGTCTACAATGGGATCCTACAGAGTGATGAGTACGTGCTAGACTTGAAAGATCTAAATGCATCGTGTTGCCAACTCTAGAACTGCTGCTATTGTCTACCCTAGAAACCTGCAGAAATAGAAACACTACTCCTTCTTACTGAGTGTTCCTTAAATCTATTCACTCACCCTCCAACCCAAATTCAATTATTCCGACTCTTACAGTGCCCTCCGTCTCTGGATTCGAGCCCCGGCACATTGTCAGTCTCCACCGCCGTCTTGAATTCGGCCAGACGGGGGGCATCCGGCTTACAGTAGTTTAGAAGCACCAGCTGCAAACACAGCGGCACATACAACCTGGGCTTCGGCGGAGAGCAAGTTCCTCTCTAGGGATCTGGCTTCAGGAATCCTTCTGCCTAGGATTCTGGGGTTGAGGGACTTAGGGGTTTAGGGCTTAGGGGTTTAGGGTTTAGGGTTTAGGGGGGTTTAGGGGGTTAGCTTCAGGGTTTAGGGTTTAGTGGGGTCTGGAAGCTCCAAAATCCTTCTGCCTGGGGTCTATTAAAGGGCCTTTTTTGCGCAGAGATTATCGCAATCCAAGGATCTAACACTGGTGCAGGCTCAAACTTGCAAGCTGTCCAGCTTGACCAGTTCGAACCCTAAACCCTAAACCCCAAACCTTATCCTGGGCTTTGAAGTAACCAGGGAGAAAAAAGTATAGACTTTTATTCCATAATGGTTCCTTTAAGGAACAGGTCCCCCAAAAAAGTATTAAAGTATGGTACTCCAAAGCCCAATATATGTACCCTAAACCCTAAAGCCCAAGCAGCAGATCGAAAGCCAAAGGCCCTGGACACAAAACAACAACACCCAAGCATGCGAAGATGTTGCAGAACCCTAGTCGCTTCAGAAGCCCAAACCCTAGACGAGCCTTAGAGCACCCACTTATAACTTATAACAGTCCCAGAAATCCGGTACAAACCTCAAAAAACTCCCAGAGACATTACACCCTGAAATTCCTAAGCCCTAAACCCTGAACCCTAAAGCCTAAACCATAACACATAATATAATATATCATAAGTCCCAGAGACCCGGCATCGTCGCGCATGATTGACCCTTCGCAGAGGAGACGCTGGCGAAATCGTGGAAGGCCGAGTAAGCCCTGGAGATGCGTCTTCAGTCCTCAGCTCACGTTTATCTTACTTCCCCAATAAGCCATGGGACTGAAAGGTAAAACTTTCAGATTACTACTAAATTATAAGAACCCAAAACTTTAGAGTTATAGGAACCCAAAAAGTTTAAAGGTTGGGTATGGGAGAACTAAGTTATAGGTTTATAGACGCTTATAGGGTTTAGAGCCTTAGGGCTCAAAGGTTCTAAGATCCTGGGGAAGTACAGTTGGGTTTAAAGGCCGCGTATCTATAGGGAAAGTATATCAGGACTATAGGGGAGACGGTCGCTGATCCATGAGCCCCTTTTTTGGTGTAGACTGTGGTCTATCTTCTATGAAAGGATACTATTGCCAGCTATTTCGCCACCTATATGGTGCTGCCCCAACAACTTCAGCGAGTTGTTTCCTCGACTGCAGAGCATTTCATGGACATTGACTGTGGTGTGGCGGTAAGGGCCAACTTCATATAGGCAACCCTAACTACTCGAAAAGGGGTTTTGAGGCATAATTAAAGTGCTATACCTACAGTAGGACCCTAAACCCTGAACTCCTAAACCCCAAAACCCNNCAAAACCCCTGAACCCCAAACCCTAATAGAGACCCTAAGGAATGACGCCCTTTAGATTTCTGGCTTGCCACCGGCAATTCAGTTTCCTTTTGAGGGGTCAGAGCTTCGGGCTGCTGCCACAAACCAAATAATATAGGGGCCTTATTAATATAGGTTTAGGGTTCAGGGGCCTTAATAANNTTCTAACTATTAAGGCCCCGACACTATAGGAACCTGAGGGTCTCTACTAGGATTACTAGGGCTCTTTATCTGAAACCCGAAACTTCAATTTTGGTGTTACAGGGCCAGGGCTTCTTCATCAAGGGTTTAGGGTTTAGGGTTTAGGGAAGGTTCCTACATGAACTTCTACGCCAAAGCTTTCTGACTGGGGAGTTGAGGAGCCCCTCACGGTTTGATCCTCTTCGACAGCATCTGCGAGCTCCTCATCGGACAGAGCCACGATGTCTGTGCCAGACACCATCCGAATGCGCAACATGGCGGCGAGTGAGACCCCTGGGTTCGGGCAAGGATGGATATTTCAACACTGCCCTTTCGAAGGATGCAGGATGACTGTTAATTACCTGGATCCTCACAAAAGTGGGTAGAATAATAGACAATTATAGAGGTTGGGCCATTGTTTTACCTACTGGTTGGGGTTTAGCTATGCTCGATCGGAGCGACCGGCGGCAGCTTTGGCCGCCGAGCACAACCTACTATGCCAAGAGGTGTGGAAACATGCTCTCACAAGAAGTGATGAACCCCTCCGGACAAGGGCTTAGGGTTTTGGGTTTCGCCTGAATTCAGCCCCCTTGCAATGGCAGCGGCACAAAAATTCCTCATCGGCTGGCGCGACAGCACTGCTTGATCCTATGCTCCACTCACGAACGCGTGCAATTGCATAATCTAGGGACGGAATAATTGGAATAGGTACGTTATACCATTATGTCATATACTAGAATTACAATAAGTGCCCACAGAGTAAGTAGTACTACTAGTTATTGAGTCCCCTATGAAAACCAAATAGGGTAGAACCCTGTTTGGATATATCTTCCGCCTCGAAAGCTTAGAATGGGGATCTTAATGTTCATAAACCGCAAACCCTCAATCCTAAACCCTAGACTACAAAACATAAATCCTAAAATCTGGGAAATCATTAACGGGCGAAGACCCCAAACCACGATTTACCACCCCGCCATTGAGAATCATTTCGTCATAGGCCTTTGTCTGTAATTTTGTGTTTTGCTTCGAACACGAAACCCAATGACAACTACATTGCTATCTAGTCGGGATGCTATAGTCAATTCTCGCAATGCGAACCACCAGAGATTGGTTCACATAGTGGCCTTAACAGTTTGAATCAAATGCTGGTGTCAGTCATAGTGATCGTGTAGTCTGCTGTATGGGATCCTCTTACAGTTTCTTCCGACCAAACGGTTGCTCCTCTCCGTACACCCTACTTGCACTGTTTCAAGCCGCCTAAAAGCCAGGGCTCTGCGTTTCGATAGATCGTTAATCTTAAGGCTCCGTAGCTTTACGCCTAAACCCCAATCCCAATACTTTACGCCCCTACGCTCATGTTCTAGACCCTAAACCCTCAACTCTAAACTGTCGGAACCCCTAAACCCTAAACCCCTAAACCCTAAACCCTAAACCCCTAAACCCTAAACCCTAAACCCTAAACCCCTAAACCCTAAACCCTAAACCCTCAACCCTAAACTGTCTGAACCTTGGACCTGAAAACCAACGGGCTGAAAACATCAGCAGCCCTCAGCTCGAGCTGCAAACCCCCAACGCTGGACTAACGGGTTTAAGGTTCAGGGTGTAGAATTTATGGGGCTTAGTGTTTAGGGTATAGGGCTTAAGGCCCTACCTTAAGAACCCAAAACCCACTTTTTTGTAGCTTCTTATTATAAACCCTAATATGGGATTTATAGGGACCCTACAAAAAAGTAGGTTTGGGGTTCTTAAGGTAGGCTTTAGGGTTTAGCGTCTAGCGTTTAGGGCTTTGTTTGACATCGGCCTCGGCATAGGCACAAGAGCCTTTCGGCCATGTGTCATGCCGTGGGTTCCAAACCTCGCAAGCACGCTTCCGACGTTGGCCCTTTAACTTTAAACTGGGATTATGGTTTGGGGTTTAGGATTAAGTAGGGTTTAGGATTAATTTAGGGTTTCGGATTTAGGGCTTAGGGTTTAAGTTAAGGCTTAAGGGCGAAACGACATCGTTTTGAAGAAGATAAGGGTAACTATGTATCTTAGTGTCTTAGTGGCCTGTCTAGATTGCGATAAGCGACTTCTCACAGGTCGCTGGTTTCAGGGTGAAGCGTTTCGAGGGATTTGGGGTTTCGAGATAAAGAGATCGGCCGCCTAGCTAAAGGGAAATGGTTCCAAGTGGCTCCACCACTCTGCGGAAGAAGGGTTTGGGGTTTAGGGTTTAGGGTTTAGGGTTTAGGGTTTAGGGTTTTTGTTGAGCCTGGAGTTTCGAGCTTGGGGTTTCGGGTCTCGGGTTTGGGGCCTTTCGTGTTAAAAACAAGGCTTCTAGGGCTTATAAGCTCGATGGGATATAGGGCCTGAACCCTAAACCCTACAAGCTCAAGCCGGCGATTTCCTGCCGAGCCTTGCGATCGCCAAGTTTCCATGTACCGAAATAGTTGATACTTTAGCCTTACAGCAGTCCCTCTCTGAGTACTTTAGGGCCAAAGTATATACTGTTTCTAGGTTCCCCAGTAGCCCCTCAATAATAAGGGCACCCTTTTTCCTACTATTTGGTTCTTATAAGGGAGCCCAAAAAAAGAAAGGGCAAAAGGGTACTACTGGGGAACCTAGGTTTGGGCACATGGACCCCCTAGGGACAGCTCAGCCCGGGACCTCGATCGTCGGACCCACCTGAGCCGACGGATTAGGGTTTAGGATTAAAAGTTCAGGGTTTAGGGTTAAAAGTTTAGGGCTGAGGGTTCAAAGTTTAGGGTTTAGGGTTTAAAGTTTAGGGTTTAGGGTTAAAAGTTCAGGGTTTAGGGTTATAAGTTCAGGGTTTAGGGTTGAAAATTTAGGGTTTAGGGTTAAAAGTTCAGGGTTTAGGGTTGAAAATTTAGGGTTTAGGGTTAAAAGTTTAGGGTTTAGGGCAGGGGTTGAAAGTTTAGGGTTTAGGATTTAGCCGAGCCAGTGACTCACCCGAAATTCTGTTTTTTTTGTTTGAGGGGGGGGGGGCGTTCATCCTTCGAACCCTGTAGGTTAGGGTTCAGGGTTCAGGGTTTAGGGTTTAGGGTTAAGGGTTTAGGCCTGAAGCCCGAAACTCTTCGAAGCGCCCGAAGCAGCCACACCCCAAAACCTCAACAACGAGAAGCGCCAAGCAATAAACCACGCAGAGGCTTCATGTTCCACCCTTAACCTGAAACCCTAAACCCTAAACCCTAAACCTTATAAACCCTAAACCCTATCCTTAAACCTGAAACCCTGAAACCCTGAAACCCTGAAACCCTGAAACCCAGAAGCCACAAGTCTCAGACACCGCCTTTTCTCGTTGGGGGGCTCGAAATCCCTAACACGGCCCACGATTCCTTTGCAACCCAAACCCCACAACTCAAAACCCTAATGTAGGGGCCTTAATAACTAGAATAGGGTTTTGGGGCCCATCATACTATACTGAAAATGAGGAACCCCCCAAATAGTATTGGAAATTATTTAGACCCCTACACTACACCCTGAATGTGCAAGAAACTCGCATCAACAACGAGGCTTCTGCAAGGAAGCCGTCGAGAGTGATGACCACGTTCTGCAAAGTCCTCGGTTTCGGGCAGACTGACTACCATAGGGGCACTCATGACTAGAATCGGGTTTAGAATAGGGATTTTGAGCTCTATGACAGTCTGGTTAGAACCAGGCACCCCTTAAGGAATCCTCTTCCGAAGTATTCAGGCTTTTATAATACCCTAATCAAAAATTCGATAAGTCCCCATGGAACCTTGGAAAACTGCGCACTACAAGGCTAGGCCTAAACCCTAAACCCTAAACCCTAAACCCTAAACCCTAAACCCTAAACCCTAAACTAGGCAAGAATCGGAGCAAAGACAAGACAGGCAGACTCGAAAACCCTCAAAACCTTCCCTAGGCCCTGAACCCTAAAGCCTAAACCCTAAACCCTGAACCCTGAACCCTAAAGCCTAAACCCTAAACCCTAAACCCTAAAGCCTAAACCCTAAAGCCTAAACCCTGAACCCTGAACCTGCCGCCAGCTAGTCTGGCTGCCGGGGTGCATGGTTTCGGGGTTCAGGGTTTAGGCTTTAGAAATTTAAGGCTTAGGGGTTTTATGGGCTTAGGGTCCCGGCTTAAAGACATATCAGCAATTTACGTCGGGTTTTGACAAAAGACTATCCTACATAATTATTCAAGGCTCTATCTTAAACCATGGCATTCCTGCAAAACGCCCACTGAAACCGTATCAAACCCTATAAGGGGCCATAAACTCTACACACCCCTACAATTAAAATCTTGCTAATTCCAAAACCAAAAAAATTATTAAAAGGATGTTTTGCATGTATCGCAGCTCTCCCGCGCTAGCTGAGATCGCGGCAACTCGAGAGAGTTCGGCGGAACGTAGAAACGTGGCCTCGCACCGCAGCTTCACCATTGCAATTGTGAAGGTTGGGGTTTAGGTCTGCAAAAGTTTAGGGTTTAGGGTTTTAGGGTTTAGGAAGTTTGGGGGTTTATGCAATCGTCTGCGGACCATCCTGGTTTGGGGTGGAGGGTTTAGGGTTCCGGGATTCAGGTGGACCTGATGATGGTGGGGGGGGGCCGACTCGTGCTGAGAGCACCCGGACAGTACACGGACACCGAAATTGACATTCAGAAACAAACTTAAACATACCAGACTAGCCAGAGCAATACGTTCCAAGAACAATAAGACAACTCCCAATAACAAACGCTGTCATCATAGCAAGCTCTTCATGCGACCCCTATGCTTAAGGCACACCTACTTCGACGAGAACCCATATTAACCTATCAGCCCTACATCACGGCGTACGAACCTATAACACCCTGTACGAACCCTACAGCAAAGCCTCTAAACCCACATACCCCAAACTCCGTGTAAGAACCCGTTGAAGACCTATAGAAACCCCACCAACCCGAACATAAAAAACAATCTTGCAGCCCATGTTTTGCACCTTGTAATACTATATAGGCATTGTAAAAAAAAGAGCAAACACTCCACAATCCCTCCAAAGCTGTACGTATATATATCTATATATATATATATATATGTATACATACATGTATAACCATAAGTACAAATATAAATATACAAATATATATATATATATATATATATATATGTATATATATAGATAGATAGATAGATAGATAGATAGATAGATAGATAGTAAAGCCCCAAAAAAAGACAAAAGCCCAAACAAAAACCTAGACCCCTCATATCAAGCCCCACACCCTAAACCCTAAACCCTAAACCCTAAACCCCTAAACCCTAAACCCAAACCCTAAATTTCTTGGGCTCCCGCTTCATCGGAGAAAGGGGGCCCGCTCGGCCCAGGAGAACTTCGCTTTCGCATTGCGAGGCCCAGTTCAAAGCCATCCTTTTGGGTTTAGGGTATAGGGTTTAGGTTTGAGGGTTTAGGGGTTTAGGGTTGAGGGTTTAGGGGTTCAGGGTTGAGGGTTTAAGGGTATAGGGTTGAGGGTTGAGGGTTTAGGGTTTAGGGTTGCGGGTTCGGGGTTTAGGGTTGAGGGTTTACGGTATAAACGGTTTAGGGTATAGGGTTGAGGGTTTAGGGTTGAGGATTAAGGGTTTAGGGTTTACCGTGTAGGTTTAGTGTATAGGGTTTAGGGTATAGTGTTTAGGGTTTAGGGTTTAGGGTATAGGGTTTAAGGTATAGGGTTTAGGGTATAGGGTTGAGGGTTTAGGGTTGTGAGGGTTTACGGTATAGGGTTTAGGGTATAGGGTTGAGGGTTGAGGGTTTAGGGTTGAGGGTTTACGGTACGGGGTTTAGGGTTTGGGGTTTAGGTTTTCCGTTGGGTCAGCATTGGAACGGGTTTTTTAAGGCCTCTAACTGTGTAGTGGGCTTAATAATTAGAGTGCTTCGGGCTTTTTTATGGTCTAACTATGATATGGAACCCTATCAGGAATAGTACTGTGCTGATCTATGCTTCTTTACTAAGGCTTTCGAGTGTACTCCAGGGTCTTAGGGTTTTGCTATGTTGAGGGTGGGAGGTTCAGCGCGCAATTGCAGCATGTCTAGAAAACTTGGGGAAACCGACGCCCTTAAACCAAAGCCTGCTCAAGTTTTAAAAAAAACCCTTTACCAAAACAACGTCTTGAAAGCAACAAGTGGCCTGATGGCGTTTGAGTCATCGGTGTGGCCGTCACCCTTTGCACCGAAGGCCCAGGGCGTGACCTTTGTTGTTTGGGGCTTAGAGTCTGCAGGGTTCGTGGGCGTGGGCTCGGACTCTAACACGTGAAACCCTCAGGCCCTATATCCCAAGCCCTTAACCCTAAACCTTTCCCTAAAGGTCCAAAGGACCCCATAATTAGGTACTTAGGTGTCGCATGGTAGCTATGTAGGTTGCTAGTTGGGAGATTATATGATTATTAGGTGTTGGACCCTTAGGGTCTAACCTTCAGGTGAAACTCACAGCTTTAGGCGTTCTGGCTTGGTGTTTCACGCGGATTTTGCCGGGAACGAGCTTGACCGGGCGACGCTCCACTCCAATCACCTGATGCTGCACCTTGGAACCCGCAGGTACAACTAGTTTCCGGTTCAAGGTTTACCTTTGGCTCCATGGACTTGAAGAAGAACCCCCCCTCCCCCCATCGAACACATGCAGTCATGGCCTGTGGCGATTCGCAGACATCTTCGTGGCCCGAATAAACCCCAAGCCCTAAACCTTGGTGGTCTGGGGTGTGATAATTCGGATGCTGGGGTTGTCGTGGGTCACGGTCGCGAGCCCATGATTGCTACTATCTTTGTTACAGCGCTGGAAACCGGAGACCGACTTGGCACGCAGCAACGGCGGGACAGTCTCTCTCGCCAGCGCTCGTCATCCTGCGGGGACCGGAAGTTGGAGGCCTTGCTAGTTCAAGGCTTTAAGGTTCAAGATCTAGGGTTTAGAGTTTGGGTTTTAGGGCAGAGTTCTGGCACCGCGGACCCGACTACAGAGCGTAAACACAAGGATCCTTGCTGCTATAAACCTTTGAACCCTCATGACTATGCCGTGCAACAAGCAGGCAACTTTCAAGTACATCATTGCTTAGGTTTCGCTGACCCTTGCGGGCGCGGGTATGCAAAAGCAGTGTCACAGGTTTTGTCCCACAAGAAGGGTTCAAGTGGTTCCCGACAGAAAAGTTTCAACATCACAAACAGGACTCCCAAAGCACCCTTACTAAGAGCGTTTTTCTCTCAAAGGCTTTGAGAATAAGGCACAGGTGCTCCAGATCCTCTCAATGAAGCTCTCTCTCTCAGGGCGGACCCCCAGATCCCGAAATTGGCGGGGGGAAGCACCTTCAGACACCCCGCCTCCAATAAGCTCGATAAGCGTCGAAATCTCTCAAAGTATATATGTCCTGGGATCCTCTCAACGAAGCTCGATAAGGCTCGAAACCTGTCAAAATCGCTGTATCCCTGCAGCTGAGGTCGCTGCCCAAGGCCGAGTCTGGTTAGACAACACTTCGTACATGCATTAGAATTGGTACTTGAACATTTATGACACAGCCACCTACAGTACACGCTAAGCACACGTTCCCGAAGTGATCCGCGACATCCTCTTTGAGACCCTACTGCGAGCGCCAGACCCAGCTGTAGATAAATCCAACGAGATGCACGATGTATAACGAGGCGAAATTGCTGTAAACAGGAGGGTTTTGGTCATGCCTGCAAATGGCAGGAACACTTGTGACAGCGCCTCGTGTTGCTGAACATCAAACATCCTCCTGCGAAAAAGCTGCAAATAGCAGGGCTTTGGGCATGCTCGCTAATGTCATGAACACTTGTGACCGTGCCTCGCGTTGCTGAACATCAAACATCCTCCTGCACATGTTGTATAAACAAGCGAAAACGCCGTACACTGCAGGGTTTTATAGGTTGGTTTGTGTAACATGGTCGTAACCACCCCCTCACCCCTCCAACCCCCTTTGGAAGAGAAATCATCCAAAGATAGCAGAATCCTAAGAAAAGCACATGGCCAGATACGCGCATGTATGGGCTTAGGGCCCCCAAACCCTGAACGCTAAACCCTGCTAAACCCTAAACCCTAACCCCGTTATAAACCCTGGTTTAACCCTAAACCCTAAACCCTGAACCCTAAACCCTGAACCCTGAACCCTAAACCCTAAACCCTATAAACCCAAGGGCTTTATCGGTTTCAGCTCCGAGGCTATAGGGCTTGAGCTCTCCTGGTCTCTGTGGTCACCGGCATCGCAGCGCTGGGAGTCTGGCAGCAGAGATCGGATCTACAGCTTAGGGTTTAGGGTAATTAAGGCACTTTAGGGCATTTAGGGTTTAGGGTATTTAGGTTTAGGGTTTAGGGTTTAGGGTTTAGGGTTTAGGGTTTAGGGTAATTAGGGCATTTAGGGCATTTAGGGTTTAGGGTATTTAGGTTTAGGGTTTAGGGCTTAGGGTAATTAAGGCATTTAGGGCATTTAGGGTTTAGGGTATTTAGGTTTAGGGTTTAGGGTTTAGGGTAATTAGGGCATTTAGGGTTTAGGGTATTTAGGTTTAGGGTTTAGGGTTTAGGGCTAGTGTATTTAGGGTTTAGGGTTTAGGGTATTTAGGTTTAGGGTTTAGCGTTTAGGGCCGTTTAGGGTTTAGGGATCTACAGTTTGGGCCTGGATGCTGTCTTGCAACTCAGAATAGGCTTTCGGAGTGTTTCTACACGCACAAATTTCTGCTTATGTGTATGCCAGTGTATGCATGTAGGTATATATGTATATATCATAGACACGCGCAAAATATATAGAGTACAAGTACGACTGAAAGTGACTGCAAGGCCCTGCAGCGGCACAGCATTCCCAACTTGCAGCGCTCAAAATGAGGTTGGTTTTGAAAGCTTCCCGCAGCATCTTTCTGAGTGGCGTTCCATAATTAATACCTATAGGGTCATACCCTACCCCTTTTTTTACGGTACCTACTTCTTTATATAGCAGAACCTTACCATAAAACTAGGTACCTTAAAAAAGGGGGTAGGGTATGACCCAATAGCTAATCAGGACCCTCAATAATTATACACTCACCAGTACTGCTAAAGCGCTCTTCTTACACGCACCAGCATCCCCAATGCAAACCTCACCTCAGTTCCGAATTCGACAGAAGTGTTGAATGCTGACCCCGTGTAGGGGCATTCACCTCGATCACAGAGGTTCTGCCTTGCGTAGGTGCGTTTTGGGCTCCCGCTTGATGTTGTGGGCTCTAGAAAGGATTCATGGACATCTTTGAGCGGGGACGGACCGAGGAAATTCAGCTCTGCTGGCAGGTTCATTGTGATACAGGTTTTAGGGTTTAGGGTTTAGGATTCAGGGCTAGGGGTTTAGGTGTTCAGGGTTTAGGGTTTAAGGTTTAGGTGTTTAGGGCTGAGGGTTTATGGTTTAGGGATGTCCGACGAGGAAGGAGGATCGGGTCAGACTTGAGAAACCGCTGTTCAGGGACTTACGTTAGGGACGTGTTGCTTCGGCCTGGGGAAATAAAATAGGGGCCTTATCAATTAGAATAGGATTCTGCGGTAATAGTCTAACTATATAGGGGCTATATAAGGGAATACTATTTGTAATTCTTGCTAAGCCCATAGAAAACCCTTATAAAGTCCTTAAAGGAACCCTCATACGCGGATGCTACTCTCAGCTATTGACCCCGATAGTCAGAACGCTGCACCTTAGCCGGCCTCTACCAGCGCTTCGAGCGTGGAAGCCGCTTCCTTGGAGAACTCCCATCTCTCTGTGGTTTGGGTTTAGGGTTTAGGGATTTAGGGCTTCGGGGGATTTAGGGTTTAGGGGTTTGGGGCTTCAGGGATTTTAGGGGTTTAAGGCTTGGGGGTTTGGGGTTTAGGGGTTTAGCATTTAGGGTTTTGGGGCTTTCGGGTTTCGGGGTTTAGGGGTGGGTTCCACATTACGAAACCCACAGCTTCTCAGGGAAGCTGACGGAGAAGGCTCCAGATTTGGAGCACGAAAACCCTAAACCCTAAACTAGGGTTTAGGGTTTAGGGTTTAACCTCTAAACCCTAAACCCTAAGCACGGGTTTAGGGTTTAGGGTTTAACCTTTAAGCTCTAAGCCCTAAACTAGCGTTTAGGGTTTAGGGTTTAACTCTTAAAAACGAAGCCCTGACCTGCATCCCAAAACCCATGAACCAGCGGTCGAGCCTCTGCACCAGGCTCCTCCTGCCCAAGGCTTGCAGATAAGGCGTCTACCCAGAGAGCCCATTTACGGTTTAGGGTTTTAGGGGTTCGGGGGGTGGGGGGTGGGGGTTCAAGGGTTTTGGGTTGAGGGTTTAGGGAACATACCTGAAACTATGCGGAGCTTGATAGTATCACTTTTTGTACATCTTCCTGAATTGAGGGGCCATGTGTAGGGCCTTGGGGTTTAGGGCTCCGGGCTTGGTAGCTCGGAGTTATCGTGAAGAGCTTCGGGTGCAAATCCCTGTCTGGTTCAGGGTGTGAGGTTCCAAGTTCGGGTTTAGGGTTTAGGATTTAGGGTTTAAGGTTTTGCCCTTTAAAGCCATTGATAAATAATTCGTACATGGGCTGCTCTTAAGCCCAACAAGAGAAAAGATCAACATGGACCAAAGTCCTAGGTAGCCCCAGGGCTCCGGGTTAAGGGTTTAGGGTCTAGGGTTTATTGTTAGCCATCTAATGTATAACTCAGTAACCAAGTATTTAGTTAACTGGAGCCCTAGGGTAGTGTTCACAGTCCTAAAACCCTAAACCCTAAACCCTAAACCCTAAACCCTAAACCCGACACCCAACCCTAAAGCCACCCTACCCTAAAGCCTCCCTACCTAGTGTCTCTGATTTCGCCTGCACAAACCTCGAGAGGCCAGGCCTTGTCAGCTGAACTGGAGGCTTCGATAGCTGGCTGTGTTTCTCTATTTAGGCTTTAGGGTTTAGGGTTGAGGTGGCTTCGATAGCTGCCCCTGTTTCTCTACTCTGACTCACCTGGAAGCTTTCTCAGCAATAGAAAAATGGCGTAGGTGGGCCTCAACCTCCGAAACCTAAGCCCTAAAGTAGCCCTACAACCCCAATAAACGGATTTAGAACAGAGTGCTGTTTAGGGGTTGTGTAGAAAGTGTTCTCTGCCTTCTACAGTCAGTGTGCTATAGGGGGTGATTAAGGGGCTTGTTCACTTTATCAGTTTGCATAGGAGCTTGGAGTATCGTTTGCAATAAATATTCTGCGCACCTTATGGGAGAAGTAAACCCTAAACCATAAACTCTAAACCCTGAGTAGTACTCTGAAATCATCTCAGGGAGCCGGATGTTGAGACAAAGACACAAACTGAGCATGTCCCAAAAACTCAAGCGTCCGGAGGGTTGCGCATCATGGTACTCCAGATCTTGCGCAGTACGTGAATCAATATAACCGCGAAATCCCTCAACCCTAAACCCTGGACCCTAAACAGCGAAATCCCTCGACCCTAAACCCTGTACCCTAAACCGCGAAATCCCTCAACCGCAAACCCTGCAACCCGCGACCTGTTAACCCTGAACCCTGAAGCCCCGCACTCCAAGGCTCCTATGTTAGAACCCCTGCAATCCAGTGCTTAGGGTTTGGTTCTTAGGGTTCAGAGCTTCGGGTTTAGAGTTTCGGGTTTAGGGGTTTAGGGTTTAGGGTTTGGGGTTTAGGGTTCGGGTTTAGAGCTTCCAGTCTCCAGTTTAGGGTTTGGGGTTTAGGGATAGCAGCCCTGAAGCTTAGACCCCACCACACACCCCCTTTCCCCGCGCCGCCAGAGTGGACTCCATCGGATAGTGGTTGTAGCGCCACCCCAGTAAGAGGCCTCTGGTGCAACTCTGCAGACGTAATCATAATATCCCCCAAAGGCTCCATATATACTACCATTACGGAATTAGGTCCCTAAAGCCAGAATAAGTATGGTCTGTTGGGACTTAATTCCATAATGGTAGGATAAAACAGAGCCTCTAGGTCCCTAAACCCTAAATTCTAACCCCTCAACCCCACCAGGGTTTAGGGTTTCAGGGTTGACTCTTTTCGTAGCCTTTAACTCGGCTTCGAGCCATCTACAATGACCTCCGATCTTCCCCCGTTGCAACAGCCATGAATGTATCTGGAGCATTGATTGGGGTTTCTTATTATAGTATGCATCTACCTCTGCAGAACTTCAGACATGGGAAAGGCACTTCTTCGAAAGGCAATTCTTCAAGCTTCTTTGGTTGTCCCTGCCGGCAGCTCTTTGTCACAAGCTGAGCGTGTGGCACTGCAGAGACGACACGACAATCAAGGTGCAGACGCAGACATGGGGCGTGCGGCACAACCTCGCAGTGGGGCGGATGCACTGGAGCCCTAAATCCTAAACGCGGAACCCTAAACCCTAAACCCCGAACCCTAAACCCCGAACCCTAAACCCTAAACCCCGAACCCTAAACCCTAAACCCCGAACCCTAAACCCCTCAGCCCCCCATAGAAGCCAAGTTGCAATGCAGGGGCCTTCACAATTAATTAGACTCGGGCCTTTGCGATAAGTTGGTATGATGAATCTCGGAGCTATAAAGGGGATCCGGGATACCGGGATACTGTCAACGGGTTTAGGGTTTAGGGCTTGGGGTTTAGAGTTTTGGGATTACTGACTATTCAGCTCATGTTCAACTAGTCTACGGTTGAGTAGGCTCGTTAGGTTTGGAGTTTAGGGTCTGTTAGATTTGGAGTTTAGGGTCTGTTAGGTCCAGTCTTCTTCCTCTCTCCGCATTTAGATTTTGGAGTGCACCGAAGCCGAGCAAGACATTCTCTGAAATCTTGCAAATAATTCCTGAATCTGCGAGCTATACTACTAATTAATCAGGACCTCTACAAGGCACGCCCTGATTGGCCTTGAACGCCCGCGACAGAGATTTAGCAAATATAATCTTAGATCAACGTATGGGGACGCGCGCAGCATCCAATAGCCGACCTACCCAGAGAACCCAATACCCTTAATTTAATTAAGGAATATTACCTTAAAATATAGGGTCCTTAATATTTTGATATAAGGTCTATTCCTTAGTTAATTAAGGGTACTGGGTTCTCCGGGCACTAGTTATCCTGTTGCAAAATTCGGGGCCCGACCAATGCTTGCTCGCCCCTGGCACGATGCGCCGGACGAGGAAGATGCAGAGGAACAAGGCAACACCTGGCGCGAGGGTAAACCCTATACCCTAAACCCAATCCTAAACAGCCCTAGCCACGATCCTTAAAGTGTTCAACCCTCAAAGCCCATAATAGAGGGCCTTAATAACTAGAACACGGTTTTCGGGGTTCCTGGTTATCATCATAGTATGTGCCCCGAGCCCTAATTATAGCCGAATGGCTTGGAGGTTCGGGGTTTGGAGTTTCGGAAAGTTTAGGGTTCAGGGTGCATGAACCCTAAACCCCAAACCAACCCTCAACCCTGAAGCCTAAACCCGAAACATTAAACCCGAAACCCTGAACCTTTAAAGCCTAAACCTGAAATCCGAAACTCTAAACTCCAACACGGAGTTCAATCCTCCTAAACCCTAAACCCTAAACCCTGAACTCTTCCCTTGGCCAGGCTCCAGGCTACTGACTCAGCTTTCGATTTCAAGCAACAGCTGCGAGCGCTGTCCACAAAAAACCTGAATTCCCAGCTCCCTCTTCGAATGTAACGTAGACCCCTGGTTCGTAGACTTCCTTTCTTTGAGGGTTGAGGGTTGAGGGTTTAGGGTTTAGGGTTTAGGGTTTAGGGTTTAGGGTTTAGGGCTTAGGATCCTTATTCTAATCAGGTTTCAGCTGAAGTGGCTTATGTACCAGGGGTGTGCACTACTGGAGAGGGCTGACAACGTAGCTGGTAGCCACGATACAACAATACTACGCTGTACTCCTAAACCCTAAACCCTAAACCCTAAACCCTAAACCCTAAACCCTAAACACACTAGGAACCCCAGAGCCCTTGTAAGCCCCTTGCAGACCCCTTTATGGGACCCTTGTAGAAGGCCTGGCAAATAAAGGGCCCAACAAATCCTTCTAAGACCAGATACCCTAAACCCTAAACCCCT